AAAAGGAATTAATACATGAATAAAGTGTTCCATTTTCCACTGAAAGTATATAAGACCTTCAGGAATTCATATATTGGACATAAGTTATACTGGAGACCTGAAGCTTGGATGATGGTGAACGTACATCTGTACAATTCTGTTTTGTAGAAGCAAGAAAACTTGAACCTAGGATGAAGGTGGGGTTCAAATCTTGAAAAGTTTTAAAGCCTGTACAGATTTATTTATTTAGTGTATGGCAGAGGTGGTATTCAACAGGTTCTGACCAGTTCTGGAGAACCAGTAGCAGAAATTTTGAGTAGTTCGGAGAACCGGCAAATACCACCTCTGACTGGAGATCTTACAGTATCCTTCCCCTGCCACGCCCATCAAGCCCCACCCACAGAACCGGTAGTAAAAAAAAATGAATCCCACCACTGATCTATGGTCCATAATACGCACAGAATAAAATAAAATTTAAAAAATGGAGTAGTCTTTTCATATTTTAAATTTACAAAACAAAAAGTGTTCCCCTTTTCCTCAAGTAGGGTTTTCCAATATTCACCTATTTCTTTTTGAGATTTTCTGTATTGTTAAAGTTGCAGTCAAGGTAGCTGCATAAAATTTCATTTTACAGAAATTAATCTTCTATATGAAAATTGTTGGGAATATAGTCCTCGCTTTGAAGCCATTGTCTCTTTGAATGGCTGTCAGTTTCTGGGTGAAGATAACAATTCTCAATGGAAGCTCTTGAAATTGTCCATCAAAATTTATCAGGCATAGCTAATATTACTCTTTCTGGCAAAATTGCCACAGATGATCAGCATACAGTAATCAAGGTTAAAGAGCAAAAGATCACCATATTTTTCTTTACAAGCAAAGGACCTGATATTTTAAGAGAGTCTTTGGATGATAGTATGAATTGATTATTTTGTTGCCCAAGCCGCTGCTTTTTGATGCATGTTGCCTAGTCTTTCAAATCCTCATCTGTCACTTGGCACTCTTTGAATTCTAGAATTATAATGCCTGTAGTTCACAATTAGCTTCATGGGTATCCAGCATAAAACTGTTTTCAATTATTGTGATGTTTTTGTTTTCAGACTCTATTCCTAGCCACTTAAATATACATAGGAGATTTTCCCAGAATCTTTTGTTAACTTAATTTGAAGATTTTTTTCACTTTTACTATATATTCAAAATGGGTTGCATTGGCAGGAAAGATTCCCCAAAATGTTATACAATCCTCTTTTTTAAAAATATATTGTTTGATATATTTTCCAGCACATTTGTCAGCTGAATATTTTTTGCCAATGTCCTTTTTAAAGAGCTATAGCTTGTTGAAATGCCTATGCTTCATTGCTTACAGTAGAAAGAGGCTTCCTAATAATCATCTGCAACAGATGTGCATTGTGGTATTTTTCAACTGAAACGCTGTTGCCCAATTGCATTACTGCGTAATACTGTACAAGGACTTCCTTTGCGTTTTAGGTTATCTAGCTCAACCTTCTCCAATATGGCATTTTGTAGATCTGTTCAATAACCAGTTGAAATACACGCAGAACATTTTTATACTCAAAAATGCCATGATTTTAAAATTGCTCCAGCAAATATAAATCTCTAGGGAATTAAGCCTATCATAGAAGATAAAGGGGGGATTTCAGGGGGGAGCTATTACTGCAGACTTCACAAGAATCGTATGATTATGAAATCACACACACTAAAAATGCTGCTTCCTATTATATCATAAAGCTCAATAGCTTATAGTCAGGGATTTGTATTTTTGTCAATAGAGTGGCATTACATTCTAGGCTGAAATAAGAATACAAAGTGAATTACTACATTCTTGGTTGTAAAAAATTACAGAAATATCAGATAATCCTAAAGCAAGAACAGGTGGGGGGGGGCGGTCTAACTGTCCAGGCAGCCTTGCAAAAGTTCATCAAGAAGCTGAAGGTATCTGTGGAAGGAACTGTGAAGTTGTGGCCAGAATGTGTGTGGGTGGCTGTAAGGGTGGAGCAAGAGGAGGAAGTGTCAAAGAGCAACCACCAGCCTCAGAGATAAGGAATTTCCTGTATTCACTTTCTTTTCACTCTGCATGTACATCTCCTAGAGCCACAGACTCTGTTTAAAACCTTAGAGATGATGAAGTTACTGGCAGCATGAGGTGAGAGAGGAATTAATTTATGGGAAAGGGCAGAAAATCTCAGCTTAAGGGAACCATTTCTTGAGAATATGAAGATGGGGAACAAAGCTGCAAAATATGGGACAAAGAACAATGCGTAGTATTCTCCCAGCCCTCATATATCTGGAGTAAAGAATTAAGGGAAGAGTCTCTTCCGTTCACTAGCCTCAAACAATAGCCTCAATAGCCTCAAACAAGGAGTATCCATTTTATTCAGTGGGCTTTTGATTTCTCCCAAACAAACTTGTTGGACCAAATTGCATATTTTTCTCTCCTTTGGCTTTTTCAACAATTTTCAAGAACACCAAGCTAAGGGGCTTCTTCTGTACAAGGCTATGATGTGTCTGATTTAAATGGGGCTTGCTGTACCTGGGGTTTATGCATGATAGAAAGACAGTGAAGTTCTTAGTAATGATCAATTTGCTTGAATGTTTTCTAGGTGCTTTCCTGAGGACATGGGTTCATTGAGCTGCATTCTTTCTGTGCTTCCTGGCCTCTCTTACCTAAGTTCAACAAATCCTTGCTAGCAGAGCCCAGGCCTGGCCTGTTCAGCATGTCTGAGAAATCATAGTTTCTGCAGTCTGCAGAAGCAAACGAGGCAGAGAATGGATAAGGCTACCCACAGCAATCAGGAAGTTAAGAAACATGTGCGCCTGCAAGATCGGTGAGTCAGTAGTACTCCAACTTCTATGCATGGACTCTGAGATTCTAGATGTTAGTTAAGTGTTAAGCTGGTTCTGTTAGATAATATTATGTTCTCCGACACTCTCATAGTTTTGCTGAATCTGGATATAATAGCTGGGAATCATAGCAATTGTAATAAAGAGCATAAAACTGGGAATGCTGATTAAATAGATTAAAATGTTAGTCCTCAATTTATGACCAGTTACAATGGATGCTGAAAATGGGACTTACTTCACTTTTCCCCATCACAGTTCCATTATTACATTTTGGGCACTTAGCAACTAGCCTATATTGATTTATGATGTGTTTGATGGAAACTGGCATTTACTTTCAGTTTCCATCAAAACCGGCCCTATAGTAACAACAGGTTTGCTTAACAACTGTACAACTTTACAACCACAGTGCTCACATAATATTTGCAGCAAAAAAGGTCATGTATTCAATCTAGTCAAATGGTGACAACTGCCACGACCTACGACGAAAATTGTGGGCTCAATTATACTTATAAAGTCAAGAACTATCTGGACCTTTAGGGAAGAAGGCTGTTAAAGAGTTTATTCACAATGCACAAAGTTATGCTACAAACCATATGCTTCACTATGGTTCATTGAATAGATCTCCATTAGCTAGTTTCATACATGCTACTAAGCCTTAAAACTGGAGTGGCTACTTACACATGAATGTAAATTAGCGTATTAAAACCATGGTTTCCATGAGCAGTTTAATCAAGACCAAATGGCATCCAACAGTATGTACTTCTGTTTGTGGTGAGGAAGAGGTTTTTGTTTTGCTTTATTTTAATCTATCACTGTATTGGCATAAAATGGCTTGACATGGGTTCTTCAGGTCTAAAGTCCTAATACCTCTGTAGTCAAAGTCCTGGGGACCAGGACTTTGACTACATACTGCTGCATATTTACATATTGCTTCAATGCTATGAGCGATTTACCTTCTCTTCTTCCCAGAGAAGTCAATGTCAATCTTCCATTAAATATTAGATGAAATATTGTTGATCATTCATAAAGGCAGTGGTTAAAACTTCATTCCTGGCAACCCATCTGATTAGGTAGGGTAGCTAATCATTCTGAAGGAGATAATTAAACGAAAGCACGAATATCTGGGTGCTGATAACACCCAGGTCTACTTCCCCCACCAATTGCAAGGAAGCAACTATAATCTTTGAAGGCTAACTAATATTATTATTAGGTTGAATGAGTGAGTAGAAGCTAAAATTACATCCAGATATGCTAGAAGTGAGAAGCTATTGGTAAAAATAACATTGTTTGGTGAACTGAAGTGAAGCCTATTCTGGATAAGATTGTACTCTTCAGACACAGCAGATTCAGGGTTTAAGAGTTTTCTTTGACTGCCCTACTATTACCGTATTTGTGGTTCAGAGCACATTAGCACAACTGTAACTGATGTGGTACTAGGCCAGTTTCATGTAGTGATTAAGGTGCTGTAGTAAAAACCAGGAGACTATAAGTTCTAGCTCCACCTTAGGAAAGCCAGTTGAGTTCACTCTTTCTTAGTCCAATTCATTTCACAGGCCTGTTGGTATGTGCAAAATAGAAGGAGGAAGGAATTATGTATCATGTATGTTCACCACCTTGAGTTTCTTATAAAACATAATAAAGGAAATAGGAAATTTTTTTAATAAATACCGGTAAATAAAAAATAAAATAAAATTCCTGACCAGATCTGTTAGCAATTATCTATGCCTTTGCTTACTTAACTACATTAACACTTTCTACAGATGGCTCCCTGGAAATTAAAATACAATTTTGACAATTAAAATACTAATCACCTTAGGATCTGTCATGATGAACAGTGCTAGTTTTTCAATCAGCAGCAGAGGTCTTTTCAAATTGCTTCTGCTGCCACAAGGTCTGTCTGATAGGTCGGAGAAGACATTTTCTTTCACGGCTCCTAGCTGTGCAATGCCCTCCTCATGGTGGTGCATTTAGCCTCCACTCTTTCAGTGTTCAGAAAATGTCAAAACTGCATCTTTTTGTTTAAACTAATTTTTTCCATCATATGCTAATATAGGACCTTCCGTGCAGACATTCTAGATTTAAATGAGGAAGAAACCTTTGGAGGTTAATGATTTACTAGACTACACTTGGTTACTGCAAGTCTCCCTGCTACTGTCCAGTTGGTGAACTCCTGAGTCTATTTAGCCATTTTTGTATCATGCACCAGATACCTGACTGTCACTGACCGAGGTTGTTTTGACATATTGTGGAATACTGACTTTCTGGAAGATTGATTTCAGGTCTTCCAGAAGTTGGTCTTCCCACTTAGATACAAATCAAAGACCAAATGACTTTGCCTTTAAGGTGAGCCAGCAGTTTAATACATCTCATAACAAGAGAATTATCACTGGCCTCATCTCTGAGCCCCACTGTTCTACCAATAGCAGGAATTATTGCAGAGAATTTGCACAAATGACTTTAGGCATTAGAGTATAGGTACATCCAATTACTAGCAGATCTGAGCAATAGCTTCTGTGTTCTTGCAGTTTTGCCAGCAGAGAGGGACAGAAGCTTTAAAACATGTTTCCATTTACACACTGGAGGCAAATAAATAAACTTTCAAATCAAAATAGAAATGTTTGTTGCATGTTTTGCTCCTGTGAGGAACATTAATTGGAAATACATGCTCCCCCTCTTTTTAACCACAGCTCAAAGAGTATAGGAGAACGTCATCTTGTTTGCATATTAAACAATGTTATGAAGTTAAAAAGATTAAGCATGTGGATTTGTAGAACTCTCTGAATCACTTACAAAGGACAGGATTGAGTGTCCTTTATATATTCAATCACCCTGGAAGAAAAATTGTTGAGAGAACATGACGTAACCCTGGAAATATTGATGGCCTCCAGGAGTGAGAGACATATTTTGCAAGTTAGCATAGCTTTGGAGCAGACACCTTAGGGGAGTTTCTAGGCTGCAGAAATCTGCAGATGTTCTAGCTAATTCAACAGCCAATAGATACCCAGTAAAAGTGACAGTTTACATGCAAATATTGGGAAACAGTTTGTGCCCCAAGAAATTCTTAGCAAAGTACGTTAGAGATATTCTGGCAAAAATCATTTTGCAAAAATGTGAGCAGTAAAGCAAGACCCAGTCAGCAGAAGAAAAATATACATATATTGTTTGTGGAGTCATTATATTCAGAATATCAGATATGCTAAATAAATCGAACCATTGCATGTTAGTATAATGCTGCATGTTAGTATAATTGTAGTTAGAAAACCTATGACCTGTTGGATCATCATTTCAGAGATAATTGCCTACCAAAAACAGAGAAAGGGGAGCAAAAAAGCAGCTTACTTCTGACTTTCCTTGTTACAAGCTGCCAGGGAGCACTGAAAATGGCAATCATATGATTGTGGCTGAGTCTGGCAGAGTAACAGTGCAGCAGCACTAAAATGGCCAAAACACTGCCAAATTTCAATCCCATGGCAGTCATGCTTTTGGGATGCATTCTTAAATTAACTCATTTGAGCTACATTAATTCAAAAATTGTTATTTTATGATGCACTGTTTGCCCAACTGAAGATTACAAACAATCAAACAGACATGAGAGAGTTAGTAGTATATAGATATTCATCAACAAATAGCAAAATCAGTGCCAAGGCTGATATCAAGGAAACAACTTTTGGTGACCATGTAGTGGGTGATGGAGCATATATTAAATCAGAACTACATACCATGTCATCATCTGGCACATCAAAAGCAGATGTTTAATCTGTTATCTATTGTCCAGGCTTGAAGAAGTGGACTGAGCTGTTAATAAGATTCCACAATATCAGCTTCTCCAGCCTAACAATGCAACAGAATCTACGTTTTTGCATGAAATTCTGAATTACCTTGAAGTTGCTAAAGATAAGCAACTTTGAGATAAGATTCATTTGTAGTGGATTATTATTATTATTTAAAAACCACAAAAAATAACCAGGACCCAGAAATATTAGACTTGGAGGATTCATTCTCTGCTAGAATTATTGCCAAGGTAAACTCTTCATTTGCATGACATGGAATTGACTTTGCTTGTGACTATGCCTCTTTTGCAAATCAAGCAAGGAATTTACACACAAATGAGGCATTGAGGACATCATTCTAGTCCTACTTATTCCAGTCCAATGGGCCAGAATTAAAAATAATTTAGACAGTAAAAATAATATCCCCCCACCCAAAAGCTCTCCTAAATGGTACTGATACACACATTGCTTTACTTCCCTTGGGGAAATGATGGGGATTGCTTTTGCTTCTTCAAGGTTGCCGAGAATCTCTGTCCCCGCTCCTGAGATTCCAAAGGAACAATATTCTTGCTTAGGATCATTGCAACATTACTAACGCAGCAATATGACAAAGGTAGAATTTCTCTCTCATCTCTGAGGGTAGATGAATGAGTTAGGTTCCAAGTTTTGTTGTTCAGAAGAGAGAGTCTTATGTAGTGGAGATTCAACAAGATAAGACAAATCAAAGGAATCAAAGACATCTTAAGATGCCTTAAGTCAGTTGCATCTCCCAGAATTGGCACAGAAAGACCAGAAGATGTGTTCCAACACACACTTTCTGCAAATAATTCATCTGAAAGTCAGACAACTCACTTAGTTACTGCACAAACATAAAGTGGGCAATAGTGAAGCCATTGCATAATTTTCAATAATCAGGCCAGGATGAAGCCATTGAAGTTTGAATTGTTGAACACCACACATCATGCAAATCAGAAGCTTGATGCAAATACACATACACATACACACACACACATATATATTTCTGCAGAAAGGCTTGTAGTCGCTCTTCTGGTAAAGCACTGAGGCCAGCCAGAACAGAAGTCCTGTGGTGGCAACTGGAGTTTGTTTTCCAAATGATAGGTGATGTAGGATGGGAAGAGAAAAGATGGCAGGGTTTCTGCCAACTGTTGCTCTGAAACTACCCGTCATTCCAGTGTATGCAGGCAGTAACTCTAACCTGCCCCGTTGCTGAGTCATGGTAAGGGCAGTGGTTCTCATACTTCCTGGCTTAGGAGGAAAGTATAGGGCTGACTATTAATTCAGGCCAAATTAACACAGCAACCTCATTTTGTCAGCAGAGGAACCCTGCTGCTATAGCATAGGCTGCTTTCTCTAGTTTGATGGTTTGTAACTTCAGGCTTCTTTGTCTTGCAGAAGGGGCTCCAATGTGTCATTGGTATTGGACATGAGTTCTCTGAGCAACATTGAACCCATTGTGCAAATCTCCACTCCTAGAGATGTCACAGTGCAATTTTTGAACACTGCCAGTCATGTCCTAACACAGAAGATGCTCCAGGAATGGAGCTGCAATCTGGAAGAGCTTCAAAAGGAGTTTGCGGTAAGATTCTCAAAACTGCCTACCGACTTCCTGATTTGATTCCAGTTTAAGCTCCTCTAGTACCTCAATTCCTTCCTGCTCCCCCTATGCCATTTTCAGTATGAGTGGCAGGAGCAAATAGCCTTTTTCCTAGGCTAGAGAGAGCTGCTAGAGAAGTATGAGATCTCTCTTAGGCACCTTCAGAAGTGTCCTGTTTTTGTCAAAATAAAGCACCTTTAGAGTATGTGTGCAGTCCTGATGCGCATGCAAAAGGGGCAGGACTTGCAGCATAATGGTGCAATCTGCTTTTGTCATTCTCTCACACACACTAAGCAGTTATGCTCTGCTGGGCTCTCCAAATGTGGTTTGTACATCAAGTAATGCATGTAGGACAGATAGTTTCCCAGGGCAGGAATGTTGAATCTATTAAAAAACCAATTACCACTTAGGAAAAGGAAATACTGGATTGAACTGCAGTGGATATAAAAAGGAGAATATAAAAATCACAGAGGAGAATCAGCTGCTTAAAGTACACAGTACAAATTGCTATCTGGGCTGAGAATCTGAGCAGATGTCTTGGTGCCTGCCTATTTTTTTTCCAGTGGAACTCTGGCATGCCATTCAGATGCCAAGTTTGACTTTGAATATCACTGTCTTGATTTAGACCGAGGCTGAATTAGTATAGGATCCAGCTGGTCATGGGTCTTAGATAGCAGCATCTGAGCAGAGCAGTAATTCTGAATTATACATTTTTTCCCACCTCCTTTCTGCTGAGTTCTCCTTGTGGGAAGGTGGGATTGGGAAATTGCCTACTTGAGAAGATCAAAGGCACCAATAATATTGTTTCCAACTCTCTGGGTACCATTCAAAAAGGAAATTAATTCAGCAATTGCTCCTTAACAGAAAATTCCCTCAAACTTCATCACTCCAGAAGAACTCAACATTCCTGGTCGGGCAGCAAAGGATAGATACACATCCATCCTACCAAGTATGTTTACTTTGCAATCATATTTGAACAGGAAGAAACTGGGATTGGGAAAGGAAAACAAAATCTGTTGAGTTTTGGCTCCAGATTTTATATTGCGTAACATACTCCAAAGCATGTAGCATACTGCAGAGCATTTCTGCAACACTGGCAGATCCCTGTTTTCAATAGGATCTCTCCTGTCAAGTCTCTTGAGGATGCATGGCTCAGAGTCTGAAGCTGTCATTAATACCAGCAGGGAACATAGCTGACAGCCAGTGTTTCTATACCAGGTGATAAAATTCCTATTTTAGATTTCAGAAATAGTTTTCAGTCCACTGAATAAAATGACAAAAAGCATATCTTCAGCTGGATAGGCGTTTGGAGCTCTCTGAGGGGGTCAATATATCATACTGGGTAGGAAGTCTGGAATGTTAGTCCAAACAGTTCTGGAGAATGCTCAGTTGGATAAATTGAATGTAGAGTACTGAACTGGAGAAACTTGCCACACATGGAACATCACTGTAGAACATGAAATAGTTACAAAGGTTACTTCTGGATGGAGGTCTCCTAGGGCTACCAGTTAAGTGAATCGTCCATTCCTTGGGTATGAAATATCAAGAAATGATGGGGAAATATGGAAAGGTTCTAAGTAACAGAAGACAATATATTCAAGGAGTCCAGTAAAATTCCATGAATGAGACAGAATGATTGTGCAATAAACATTTCAGTGGAAATTGGAAGCACAATTTCTCTCTAGTGGGATATCTCAATGAAAAAAAAAAGGAAAGAAAAGAATGCCTTGAATTCTTCAGTAGAATGGTAAAAATTCAAACATAGGTAATAAAGCAATATCTTTCATATTTGAATATTTTTGAGGCTTGTGTGCTATTTTTGACCATGGTATAGCTTCTTTCCTTTCAGTTACAGGGAATAAAAAAATTTTACTGCCCTGAGAAACACTGAATGCTGAAACTATTGTAAGTTGTAGAAAAGCCAATCCACTCCAGACATTTTTAACTTCTGTTCCCATTATCTCCAGGCTTGGCTGGGTGGAAATTATATGAAGAAAAGTCCAAGTTATCCGAATGGTTGGGGAAGGCTGCTTTTAAAGCTGTGATGTGATAAAATGCAAAAATTCCTACACATACATAAGAATTTCTTGCTGATGCTAACATTCTTGCCCAAGACTGTAAAGGAGAATATAATTTAAAGTGAAAGAAGACGAATAAAATTTCCAGTTGGGCCACTTTGTTGGGGGATGCATATTCCTCCAGGTTTAGGAGAAATAAAATATATTTTTTTTTTTTACTTCTGAGGAGAACTATAGAAACTCAAGGCATCAGGAAAAAAAACTATTGGTTCAGCCAGGCATTTAACTACTGTACTTTTTATTTTTGTCATCCTTGTTTTAAAATATAGGGTTTTGAAATCCCCTTTATACTCCCATTTTGATATTATATTTATATTAATATTTATAATGAAAAGTGGGTGAAATAACGGCCCCAAACCAAACTGATAGGAAACCAGAAAGATTTCAAAACCACTTTTCTGTGGAGTGGTTTGGCCCAACTGACAGTAAATGCTATATTAAGCCCTTAGCTATCTCACCTAACTAAAATATTCCTCTAGATCCACAGAGCCGTGTCTGTCTCAAGAGAGTCAACAGCCAAGAAGAGGAGTCTTACATAAATGCAAATTACATCCGGGTGAGCCAGAGAATTATCTAGAGGTGAGAATAACAAAGATACTGGCTCCGGTGTCTCTTGTTAATAGTTGTTATTTCTCTCCCGTTGTCTAGGGTTATGCTAGCCAGAAGAAGACCTATATTGCCACACAGGGACCCATGCTAAATACAGTCAATGACTTCTGGACAATGGTGTGGCAAGAAGAAACTCCACTCATAGTTATGCTCACCAAACTCAAAGAAAGGAAAGAGGTATTATTGTTAGAGATGTGTATAAATTTTGATTAATGAGAAGTGTCAAAGTTCCCTGTGTTTATCCTGGGTTCTGTGTCCTTTGGCAGAGGAGAACAGTGTCATTGCTATAGTATAACATCTGTACATAGTCGTATGTAAGTTGGCAAAATATTCAGAAACCTAATAAAGGATAGCCACTTATAGCCATAGTAGTACTATGACATACTATGGCTCTTCTAGGGGAGCACATCATGCTATTATATTTTCTGCAAGTTTTCAGTTTCAAGATTTGTGACATTCTGGATTATGGAGTAATGAGGCTATCTTTACGGATTTAAAAGCATTGGATGAAATGCTTATGCACTGTCTTTTAACTCAGAGATCCTGAAATTTGCTGCACTAAATGTCTCCTGGTCTATGAATTTATAAAGCAGTCCTTCTGCCGCTCTAAAGCTCCACTCTTTTCAAACCCTCACAGATAAGCTGCCATTTCAAGGTCATATTTTTGGTCATATTTTGAAGCTGCTTTTATTATTTATTTCCCAGTTGCTGGTGCTTTGCTTTTTCTTAGTTTTCAATTAATGACTTCTAGATAGAACTGCTACAAAGCACTCTGGGCATTTTATGGTGGTTTCTCCTTGGCAGATGGATGATACTGGTACCTCTGCATGAAGTTTTGAAAGGTGTTGGGTGAGACTTCGGGAAGTTTTGGTATCACCTACTGATGTGCAGGAAGATTGCTTATTGCTAAACCTATTGCTTATTGCTTAACTTATTGCTAAACAAGGGCCCTTTTTAGAAATAAAAAAAAACAAGAAAGGAGTTTATCATCTGGCAAATGTGCAGAGAGTGTGGACTTATTATTTCTGGAAGCTTTGTTAGCCAGCACAAATCTCTGCAGACCTAATAAATACAAATGTGTGGCAAGGGAATATTAATAGCTACATCTCAAGTGTATTTTTTTTTAACTCTAAGATTTTCCTAAGCCTTTTCTTTCCATAAGGAAGCTTTAGAAAATACATTAAAAACTCACATGTGGAGGTTCTGAGCCTCAGCGAGCTTGCTATTGTTTGCTTTGTAGAACTCCTGCAGCCCATTTGCTATGGGGGAATAGGTCTGTGAAGTTCTGATTTCCTCTTTTCTTTGGGGATTTAGAGTCAGCCGCTTGGTTGACATCTTTATGGATGAGGATCCCTACCTTTATAATTTCAGAAATGTATCTGTTACTGGCCTGAAAGAGAAGCATCCTATGGACCATTTAGAATTCAAGTCCAAGACATTTGGGAATGTGATGACTACACCATTCGTAGCCTTTCCCTGCAGGTATACACTTTTTTTATTGATGAAGACGAGTGCTCTGGCAAGATGATTTTTCTGCACAGTTCACCCTTCCCTCCAAATCTCTATGCAAGTATTGTCAAAACGTGTACATGTATAGGTGAACACACACACACACACACCCCATATATACCATTTTGGCTGTATAAGAAATTCCTTTCTGATACTTATTAGTGTATATGAGTGGACCTGGCACAAAAGTTTGCAATCTGGATTATTTCTATTTTATTTTTCTACTTGTAGACAGAGTATTCCTTTTCATTTAATTTCCCATTTAATTTTCATTCTATCTATAATTATCAATGACCATTTCATTGAGAATTCCATTGTCTCACTTAGTTGTCATGAGGCTATTGTGAGGAAGAGGGGTGTTTTTCCCTCAGGACTTTTGTCTCCTTAAAGATGTCTGTATAGCTGTAAGTTTTGGAATTCCAATAAACACCTGGATACTTTCTCTCTTGGATAGACGCAGTCACATATATGTGAATACTTGAAAGAGTAAAAGTAATGCTATCTTGTATTTCATTATGATTTTCAGTTCAAAGATGAATGTCGCACTGTGAAACACATTGTCTTCTCATCCTGGCCAGACCAGAGGACACCAGAATCAGCCAAGATGCTCTTGCATTTGATTCTTGAGGTGGAGAAAATTCTAAAGGCTTCCCAAAACAAGGGACCAATTGTTGTGCACTGTAGGTGAGAAATTCTTCTTGTAGCTCCATAGTGTTGGAGGATGCCCAGAGCTGCTGGTTTTGAACTTATATTTGAAATCTCCATTCTAAAATGATGCACTGCAGATCTAGCAAATACTTCCCTCTGTAAAATTCTGTACATATGGAGTCTATGGTGAAACTGGCAAACTGTTTTTCCCAGAAGCGTCTTGGTTTCAGTGAGATGGAATTTAGCAAACCTACTTGATTAGAAGGGGATGGGCAGATATATTTCTACACCTTTGTCCTTCATATCCCCAAAGATATGAATCTGACATGAAGTTGTTGTTCTATTTAGTGCGGGCATTGGACGGACAGGCTGCTTCATTGCTACTCAGATTGGATGCCAGCAACTAAAGGACAAAGGAGAAGTAGATATTTTGGGAATTGTCTGCCAGCTACGCATAGACAGGTATGGATCAAGACCGGTATAGAGGCCAAGTTCTGAGTTTTTCATTTCATTTCATGAAAAACTGAAGTGGTCTCTAGTTAGCTTATCTTTTTGCTTTGTATGTCAAGTTAAATGTACTGAAACTTCTACTTCATGCTATAGTACATACTTTGAAGGTGTCCGGAAGCATCTTGATAAACATAGTTTCCTAAATGCTGATAATTTGATATGAAAGTAACTAAATTAGCTCATTCAGTATTCAAGGAAAATCACAGCAGTCATTAATGCTTTGGTAACAAGGCAGTTGATGGTGAGGGATGTACTGTATCCCAGGCATGTTTGTAGGAGACATAATAGGGTTCACGATTTGGTACTGCCAATGGCATCTTTTCAGTAGATACATAGAAATAAGTAAGTTTGATCCCTAAACAAATCAGACCCACTTTGGGTACCTCATTTTAAGATCTGTATTTGTCTCATTCTGTATTCTCACCGCATACACAAAGGTGCCAAACTAATTATACCCAGTAATAAACTTATTTCTATATTGTTACATTAGATTTAGTCTCCACTTTTATATAGACTTGTGATAAGTTAAGTAACTACAAAGCCCCATTAAAATTATTTCAATGTAACACTTGTGGTAAAATGTTATACCTCTGAATGCAACACAAGCATGTATGACACTGTGACATACATTATTAGTGCTATTTGTACGGTGCTTCAGGACACCATGGAGCAAAATGCAGTGCCAAGAAATGTATGCAAATCTTTATATATCAAATATATTAAAGAATGCACTCTTTACGAATGAAGGTGAATATACATGTCTCAGGATTATGTTGCAGGATCCAATCTGGGCCGGTCACCAGGACCAGAGGTTTTGTCTTCCAAGCTTTCGGACTCGTGTTAGAGCTCATCTTTAAGGAACTTCCTTGAAGATGGGCTCTAGCACAAGTTAGAAAGCTCGGAAGACAAAACCTCTGGTTCTGGTGACCGGCCCAGATTGGATCCTGCAGTGCACTCTTTAGTTCTACACTGGGACATGTCTATAAGTTAAGAGCACAGCCAGACATCCAAGGGTTTGTGTTATTTTATCAACTCCAGTATCTAAGTAAATGTTGTCTATGATATGAATAAAGTACATGCAAAAAAGCAACAGAAAAACTGTAACCTCTATAAACAGCATTACAAATAGCCTGGAACAATATTACTTTACAAGCAATACAGAGAATATTGTCTATCGGATAAGATTTTTTAAGATAGTTCCTGATGTCTTATATATAATATAAATGGATCATGTCAACTCTTCAGTTTGCTCTTCCAGGGATTATTAAAAGCTACCTTTATATCTAAGTGCCACTCATAGTCATGTTAATACGCTTTGAGTGAAAGATGATTTTGACCTGATAAAAATTCTCAGTAATTAATTGAATGATTCTTCCCAGTGTTTAATAATGCTATTTTAGTTTGATTTAAGAAGTTTTTTTAAAAAGTTTTTATTGGTTTTTAAAAACAAACATAAACAAACAAAACATAAAAACATCAAACCATCTTCCATATATGTACATACAATGTGCCAGTTGGTTTACAAATTGTTTTGTGCTTCCATTTCGTAGTCTTCAATTACAATTACATTGCATATAATCTCGTATTTTCAATCAAAAATTAAATACCTTAGTATCATTATTAATCAATCATTTGACTATACTTTTATTAATTCATGTTTTACAAGATAATCATAATTTACTTAGTTTGTTTTATAACAGTTCATATTATCATCCCAAATCTATCCTAAAATCATTTTGTAGATATAATAAGAAGTACATCTTTATATATTTATTATTTTCTAAAAGTCTACATATTTCATTACTGTATTTTATTGTCTAACCATTGATAGAATAGATCCCAAATTTTATAAAATTGTTTATCCTCTTGTTTTCTAAGTTCAAATGTCAATCTACTCATTTCAGCACATTCCAATATTTTCTTAATGACTTCCTCCTGTGATGGTGTTTTCTCATTTTTCCAGTTTTTGGCAAATACAATCCTAGCCGCTGTTAATACATTTGCAATCAGATATTTCAAGTCTTTACTAGATTTAAGAAGTTTTAAAGGTCATAGTTTCAGTCCTCATTATTTAATCTGTTGATGTTTTATTTTACAAGATTTTTTGCAATTTCTTGAACAGGCATTTGCAATTGAATTGTTTTGCAAAGTATATGTAATTCTCAACCTGCTTTGTAAGCTGTTCTGCTATGGTCTGCAAAGATTGTAAATGATATAAGATTGCAAAACAAATGTATTGTTCTTCCCAGTGCCTGTATATTTAAACAGATTTTCTTTGCATTGCAGAGGGGGAATGATACAAACCAGTGAGCAATACCAGTTTGTCCATCATATACTTGCTATGTATGCCTCACAGCTTTCTGAATTCACAGACAACTAATCCATCATGCTGTGGTAGCAAGAGGAACTGTTTATATCTGGACACTTTGCTTTGGAGAGCCTTTTTTCTGATAGCAAGATAGTAAAGTATTTATATTTCAGCCACTTGAAATACATGGCTCAAACAAGAACTGTTAGGTTGTTGGTGTTATGTAAAAGGAATTTAGCTGGATGTAGAGTTTTAATTTCATTTTTTTTATATTTTGAACTTCCTGTGTAAGTTTTGTAAACATAATATTCATTTTAAGTTCATTAAAAATACTGTTGTGTTTTATACACACACACACACACATACACACACACACACACAAACAGCTGTACATCTCAATCCTGGACTAACCAGGTCATGTTGTTAAGGTCTTTTCCCAGTGTCTGGAGGCTATGGATATTCCGGATGGGTAGGAAAAGACTCAAGCTTGATCCTGACAATCATGAGTGGTTATGGTTTTGGATCGCTTGAGACCAGTGGATCCATCTTGAGTCATGAATAAGCTTGCACTTTTCCCTTCAGAACTGATAACTATATGGAGATATTCTTAAACTCACATCTCCTACTTAAGGAACAGGTAGCAGCTATGGCTAAGAAGGCCTATGCACAAATCCATCTTGAGTACTAATTATAATCCTACCTGAACCAAATAGTTGTTCAGATAGTTACTCTATCATCTCACATATGACTCTAGTAATGCAGTCTACATATGGCTGCCCTTGAAAAACACTCAGAAGTTGCAACTGGTGCAAAATGCACCATTATGGGCAATTATGGATGTGTCACATGATCACAATTCAGTGTGTTGGTTATCCTTGTATGTTCCAGGTCAATCAAGAAGTGTCATGTAATGAAATTAAGAAATATGGTTTCTTGGTCACAGCACCTGCTCTCTGGAACAAGATTTCCCTGAGACTTGTTTGGCTCTTACCCAGTGGTGGGATTCAATTTTTTTTTACTACCTGTGGGCGTGGCTTGGTGGATGTGGCAGGGGAAGGATACTGTAAATAATCTCCAGTCAGAGATTCTCCAAACTACTCAAAATTTCCACTACCAGTTCTCCAGAACTGGTCAGAACCTGCTGATTACCACCTCTGCTCTTAACCCACCTGAGTTGAAAGAAACCCTTAAAATCTGACTGTTTCTCCAGTTGGGTTAGACTAGGTTGCAGGACTTGTGGGTTTTACTGATTTAAAATGAAGAGTTTTCCTTTCTTCAGATAGTAATAGCACTTAGACTTATATACTGCTTTATAGTGCTTTTACAGCCCTCTCTAAGCAGTTTACAAAGTCAGTATATTGCCCCCAACAATCTGGGCCCTTATTTTACCCATCTCGGAATGAGTCAATCACAGATGCTTGTGATTTTATTTTTCTTAATTATTTCATTAATACATGATGTCCAGAGTTACTATGGAATTAAGAAGCCCTATAAATTGAATTAATTGGTTTGTATTCAGTCACGAAATACAGCCTGATTTAAACAAGGTACTTTAAATGAGAAAGCGAGTCTTCCATGCAGGGGTGACCACATTTAAATATATAGTTAATTTGCGAAATATTCAGTCTGTAAGCATTAACACACAACAGGTTATCTGAATGTATTATTGGCTTGCTAGTGTTATGTTCAAATGGATGAATATTTAAATAAGCATATTTTATATGCTTAAATAAAATTGGAAAACGTATTGTAATATATTTCCTTCCACCCCCAGTTTGGTATGAGTTAGATGCTCTGCAACTAATCAGTTAGGGCTAAAATGCATAGGAAGTTGCCTTAAAATAAGCAAAAGTGCTAATTCACTTTGCTCAGCATTGGTGATATTATCTGAAATGAGGATATCAACTTTCCCAGCCATGATATTTTCAGGTATCTGGTAAAATCTACAATAACATATTACAGGTCATATTGTTATGCAGATGTCGCATATTACAGCACTGTATGTACTTTGTGTCATTTTCACAGCAATATCATGTGGGAATAATGCCACTTGCACTCACTGTCAAGCCTAGTCATATCTGGAGTGCTTATGCATACAGAATAAATCTTCTACCTCTGAATTGTGTTTTTTTTAATGTTTTCTCTTACTGTAGAAAAAAGTAAACCATGTTTATTAAAAAAAAATAAAGTTGTGCTGTATTCTTTCTAATCTTTTCCCACCAAGGCTAGTGACCTTAACATAATAAATAATTTGCATGCATGAATCTTTAACATTCCAGTTTAAAGCATAAAAATGTAGTCACTGACTTTTATTTATTTTTATTATGATTTTTATATGAAGAAAATACTGAGAAAAGGAAATTATCCTCTAACCTCATTGAACTGGAGAGTAATCAAAAAAGAAATCTTAGTTAATTGTGATACAAATTCTTTCTTACCACTTTTGCATGGATTTTCCTGACGCTTACCCTAAAACGAAGCTCTGTATTTTTGACACTAAGAATTCATATGCCTTTGAAAATGTATTTTTAATCTAATTTTTGAATTTAGGACCAGTTACCCAAAACAGTGGTTATCTCATGCTAATTGTGCATAAAAGCAGGATATATATACCCTACTGCTTGGAGAAGATAATATTTATATATATCATAAAGTTGCTAAGATTTATACATAAATGCTTTGTTAAAGTATTCAGTGAAGAGAAAGAGGAAGGACGTGGAAGAGCAGGAGGAAGAGACTGGAACAAGCATTTCAGAAAAAGCCAAAATTTAATAAATTCTGCCACAGCAATAAATTCATTGTATTGGTGTGAACATGTACACATTTGGAACACGTTTCTCCTGTGTAGAGTGGAAAAATTACATTAGCAATCTCAAAGCCATCATTCTGAGGACTAGAAGGTGCATCATACTTTCTAACATGATTTGTCATATATATAATCCATCTAGTTTATTAAAAATGAGAAGGAGATAGTTCCCAAGAGTCTTCCATTTAAAAATGGGTTGAGGGGAAGTAACAAGTGAAAAGAATGATGAAAAAATAAGTGGGTAAACATTCACAGGTTTCTCTGAAATATAAAGCCCTAGGCTTAAGGAATATTGCTTGATTTTAGCATGATATGAACACAGTCATAGCTTATACACATTAAGTGTGTGAACAGATACATTGTGACCTTTTCACATGCTATGACTAAAAGAACCATGACTTGGAGTGAACTGTGAATGCAAACTATGTTTGCCTTGCCTTTGCTCCTGTTGCAGGCTGCTTACTATCTATGAATAGTCCACATTGTTGTGGAAAAAAGAAGTTTACTGAAAAGTGAACCAAAGCAATGGAGAACTGAAACCAATTTTCTTTATTAAAATACCCTATTATAGTAATCACTGAGCTTCTGGCCAAATGGACCAAGAGCCCCAACAATAGATTATATAGTAGTAGTATAATAGTTAAAAAGGTGCATCAACAGCCATGAATAATAATTATATTACATAGACAAGAAAAGCCTCCAAGTCTGTATCAGCAATAAGCAGTCAATCAGCTTCAGTCTTTAGCTGGCACTTTGATCTTGTCATCAATCCTGATCTACATTCCTTTTTATTTTATGGTTTCTTACTTGGGATCACTTTAAACTGAATTACAGTATCAAAGGACATGATAAATCCCAACCATTTTGATTCTATGTAATCTCCTATTGATCCAGGACACAAGTTAAAGTATAAATAAGTATATATTATAAATATTATAAATAAAGTATAACAAGTATAACAAGTATAAATAAAAATCAAAGTCCTAATTAATAAAATTTACTTTTAAAAAAGGTTAACTTTCAACTCCAGTTTATTGTCAATACAAAGCAGTGTGGTCCTCTTTTTGGTTCTGGAGAACAGATTGATGTCCTTGGTTTTGCATGCTGAGACAAGGGTAGGTAGCAAGAGAAACTCTGAAATGAAGGGAAGTTTGACATTTTAAAAGGAGAGCAATGCAGTTCTACAGATTACCGGATTTTCCAGATCAACCCTTAGAAGTACTGTTATTTCAAAGAATAATGGACAAGGTCTCCTGGAACCAATAGCACGTAGGGCTATTTGTGGTATGTATACAGGTAGTCCTCAATCTACGACTGTAATGGAGATTGACGATTATGGTCACAAATTGTGACAACCATTAAGTGAGATAGCTTCATTTAATGGCCCCTACCCCTTGCTCTCCCTGAAGTCCGTTAAATGAATGTGCAGGTCATTAAGCAAGCATGGGGTAGCTTAAGGGTGGGAAAGGCCCCAGGAATCCCACAACCCAGCTGACTCCATAAAGGAGGCAGGCAAGTGGCAAAAAGCCAAAAACAGAAGCAGGAAAAAAGAGCCTAGATTAGGGCCCAACATCACGTTCCAATGACAGAGAAGCTTCCAAACAAGCTTTGGTGGGAGCTGGGCCTCTGCCCTAATCCGCTGGCTATTGGGAGGTTGCAAACTTCACTTGGCTCCTGCTAGGCTTTGGAGCATTCAGCCATCTGCATGCAAAGGATGAGCTTCCCAAAACCTTTACCATGCTTAAATCTTGGCTGATTCTAATATTTTCTCTGAAGTTCAATCCAATTATAAGGAAATAACTCCATTCCAATTCCTGAAGGGACTAAAGATCAAGACTATTAGAAGTAAAAGTAAATATTTTAAAGTTGGTTTTTCGATCAAGGTTAAAATAGACACGTTATCTATTTAATAGACTTTTGTGATATCAGTACTGAAATGATGAAGACTAAAAATTTTGTTTATAGATGGGATATGGAAGAAGATATTACATACTGTATTTTAAACTAACATTGTATGAAGGGGAAAGGATACTTTTATTAGTCTTTTTTCTTTCCTATTTTATTTTTTTTAATATTTTTTAGTTTGGATTAGTTTTTATTGTTGTAATTGTAATTTTTAATGTAATGTAATTTTTAAAATCATGTGACCACAACCAGGCTTCTGTTTTTACTTAGCTTTATGGTATTAGAAGGATTCCAACTCAGCGATGAAGAAGCCAGGCAGATGGCGAAATCTCATAGCCCTTTTCCCCACTCTTCCACCCCAGGGCTGGGATCATTAGCAAGAAGAGAATAGATGTTCGCATTTATATTTATTGCAGAGGAAGCAAAGAGAAGAAGCAGGCATATAATCGGAAATGTAGATAAAAAGGGAATGTGCTAGTGCTGTTTTTTTTTGTATAGCATCTCACAGCTGTAAGTGCAAGCTGCTTGGGAGGCAAACAAAATCTTTATGAAATTGATCAGTCTTGTCAATTTCAGGCACCAGCTGCAAGTCTACTAAGCCTTCTAATTAACAATTGAGGTCACAGAACT